GATCATGTATATAATGAGTAAGAAAACCTGTTGTTTATATTGTGTCCCTAATGATGATATCATGAGTTGAATCTTATTTTCTTTTAATGTATTGGTCAATGAATTGTGTGACCAACTCTCTTTATATGAAAAATGCTAAAAAACATTATTTCTCAAGTAAATGCTATTATGTGAGTCAAATTGTGAATATTTATTTTCAAATGTTTTACATGGGCTAAAATATTGATATTAACTAGCACTTGCATTTAAACTAATTGATATACATTAGTATGGGTTAGTCAAACTTTGGTTATTGAGTAGTTGCACTCACCTTACTATTGTCAATATCACAGGGAATAACTTAAAAGATGTTGATAGAGAAAAATACCTAGAGGCTTAGGACCATGATCTTTTTGTAGTAGGTCTCTTTATTTTGAGTAATTATATGTGTATGACAATTTCAATTGTCAATTAGAAATTCTCATTTGTTCCTTACTTGTATTATGTGAATTGTAAGTTGTAAGTGTATTTTGGGCCCTAGGGAGTGAGTTAATGAATATATGATATTGCGATAGGGCCAAGATACTAATGCAAGTAAGAGTAGATCATATTATGAGATGATTTGGAGAACTTGATGAAAATTGTGGTAAACTCTCCCTTTTTATGTTTTTTGAGTTTAAGGGGTTGAGTAGTGAAAATTTGATCTGGGAGTATTTCATATGATGTGGTGCATTGCATGAGTTAGTCTTAATGATTTGAATGTGGTCAAATTGGTGTTGGTGGTTATTGGCCTATGGTATTTGATTTAAACACTTGATTTTTCAAAAATTATTGTAAAAGTATAAGTTTTGAAAAGTGTGTCCAATTTTTGTTTTAGAAAAAATTTAAATCTGAGACCAATGCCAATAGTTAGAACTCAAAAGAGTTTTTTGTAGACACCTAATTCACATTATTTAGACATCGGACGGAGATTTGGGATGCATTAAAAGTTAGCCTTAATGCTGTCAAATTAACAACAGAATTTGCTATCAAAATTCATGCAATTGTGCCACGGTGCATGGTGCCACAAGCCACGGCGCGTGTCACAGAGGCGAACACGCTGATACACATGTTCAACGAGCCACAGTGCACACTTTAAAATTTTTCAGAAATTCTCTTGTTTCAAATTCTAAAACAAATACACTCACTTATGTAATGATCCCATGCTTCTGCATATTTATAAACTTTGGTTTGTCTAATTGCAAGACTTTAAAAATGATTTTAGTTTTGTAAACTTAGGGTCCCCATTTTGCTAATCATTGAAAACTTTGTATTTTGATAATTACTATAATCCCATTCCTTAATTACTCGGGGTTTGGTTTTAATTATGAGATTAGAAGGAGGAGGATATTACACTCTACCCTTACTCTTAAGTTCTCGTCGACTTTTACAAACTCTGCAAGTTTCATAAATTGCCTCACATAGCACCTCGTGTGAAAAAAAAATTTATATTTATTTTTTTCAACATTTCTATCCACTTTTAATTCCCTCACCTTTTCAACATATTTGGCCTTTTCAGCCTTAGACAACTCTTCCCAAGCCTTCAATTCAAATTTCATTGTATGTTTTAGCCTCATTTTTTTTATAAGGAGAACATAAATTTAGTTTTGTATACTTTATTCGTGTTTTGTTATAGGTCTCTGTATTTTTTTCAATGTTTTAGGTCCCTATACTTTTATATTTTGGTGTTCAAAGCCCCTCCAAGGTCCCTACACTCTGTTCATGAAAGCACCTAGAACAACAAAAAACAAAAATACAGGAACCTAGAACATAAAAAAAAAAGTATAAAGATCTATAGCAAAATGCGAACAAATTGTAGGGACCCAAAGTTATGTTTTTCCTTTGTTATATTTATCTTCATTTTCCTCAAGGAAGTTCTTGAACAGATTTAGTGCATTCACTAACTTCCTTATCCTAAACAATTAAAACTCTCTGTTAATATTTAATAATCTACACTAGTCACAGCAACTAAGCTCAAACAAAATCATAGCAAATACTATGCATAAATAATATAATTTAAATAAAAAATCATATCCATGTAGAGATAGTTTAAACAAAATTATAGCTTTGTGTAGTGTGGCTAAATAAATAATATAATTTAAATAGTAGTGGAAGACAATGAAAGTGTTAATACTTAGAATCCAGAGAATGTCTTAAGAATTTTCCTAGATCTCCTATGGAAGGTGTTATCAACAATGAACTTCATGTTCATAAATTTTAATAAAACATTTTTCCAGATCTCCTGCGGAAAGGTTTCCCTCTCTTATAGATAATTAAACATGTAGTGAGATTTTCAAAAATGAACTTCATGTTCAGTTCAATGACTCAATAGAAAGCAGAAAAGAAGTTAGGTCACATGAATACAAGAAGATAATTGGTATATAGGAAAGAAGGATAGACTATCCTTATTTCTTATACTTTAGTGTAATGGGTAGATAAAAAGGATAGACAGCAAGAATCCTTTTTTGTTTTTTCTCTATTTGTTTCAAGAGTATATTAAATTTATTCAGCATAACAATTTTGAAGAAAATAACACATCATAAATGATTTGTTATTTGAACCAAAAAAGATGAATGGTGACCAATGATAATATAAAATAGATCACTTTGTGTAGCAGCCAAACTATCAAATGTGGAAGAAACGAGCAGTAGAAAGCCCTTGATGCACTGCTAGAGTTTAGACTAAAGCTTTTTAGAAAATTCATATTTTTCCCCTGCCAATCCTTTAATCAAGGATACAACATACTATAGTGCACCAACATCAGAAGAAGAAAAAACGTACACAGATTTTCCACAAACATATATAACCTTTGAAGCAATAGAATATTTTTATGTAATATGGATCAATAGATAATAAATCAAAATTTATGACTAAGATTATCCAAGCCATTTAAAAAACCAAATCTATTACAACAATTGCATGAGACATTCAATCAGCTTTAGTGAGATCTTGGTCTTATTTTTATAGGACAAAAGAGAATATAGAAAGCTTAGAATTCAAAACTTCATTATCAACTCCTTTAAGTCCTCTCAAGTTAGATTTACAAGCTATAAATGTTAGTTGAAATTCTAAATAGCCACCAACATATAAAAATAATTACAACAAGTTCTTTTTAAAATAAAAAATACTCCCATGAATTTCCCCCACCTTGAAAAACTAGTCTCCAAATCAAGGGTGACTATCATTGAAACAAAAATTAGGATACTTTTATGGAAAATCATTAAAGTAGACCCAACAGCATGTTGACCAACTTCCCTCCATACTAGAGTTTTTTAGTGAGTAAAATCCAATCACACACATCATATTGATTTTAGGCATTGCATTTCAAAATTCCTTATGGAAGAATAGTTACCTAAAATATAAAAGCACCAATACAACAAGTACATGGATCAGATACAAACTTATCAAAAATAGAAGGAGGAGGTGTCGCACATGAAATATAACAGTGTTATAGTTTCCATCATCATAGAATTTGTCCTCGTGAAATCATTCAACAGTGAACCACAAATTCAAGGTCACCCACAGACCCACAAACATAGTCCTACAATTACTAAAGTGAGAAGAGGAAAGAGGGAAGAGTAGGAAGGAGAAAACCAAAATCAAGTGTGATTGGGGAGAAAGGGAGAGAAGCTACTAGACTCATGATGACGACAATGTTGAGACCCACAAACCCACGACGACAGACCCACTGCTAGGAATGTCGAGAAGGTCGAAGCCACTGGAGGTGAAGCAGATCACAGACGAGAACACTGATTGTCAAGCTACAATGAGACAGCGACGGAGACACAGTTGAGGTGAGACGATAAAGCATGGAGAGAGCAAGCGAGACTACAGAGCACAATGCACGAAGGAAATAGGGGAAATGACATTTGTTACTTTTTTTAATTTGAATCAAGGACAATTTGGCCATTTATCTTAATTCTTTAATAACACAAAAGTCTTTAAACACTTTAGGAAAATTATGACATTTCAAGGAATTAAAATGTTATTTAGATAATTTAAAGGTATTTTACTTTCATTTTTTTTAAATATTAATGGATATCAAAATGATTATCACAAATCTATAAGAATAAAGCTTGAACTTTTAAAATGATAAAATATAAAATATATAAGAATGGCATAAAGTAAGAACATGATAAAATAAATTATTATACCTCAATATGAATATAATTAGCCATGAATAAGTAAAATTCATACCTTCTTTAAAATTGTAAGATCATCATTTCTTTTAAATAAATTTGCAAATTTTACCACTTCATTTAGACAAATTATCTCTACACCCTGAACAAAAATCAACAAGCATCAATAAAAAATTATTCAAATTCATGCCATAAACTAATTTAATAAAATCTCATGCTGATACTGTGCTATAACAGTAAGGAGAAAGAGAAAAGGAAAAGAGAATAGCAAAACAAGAAGAATTGGAAGAGAAAACAAGAAAGTATATTTTATTCACTTGAATGTTCAATGCTTTGTACATAACTCTATTTATAAATTTTCAACCATTAAATCCTAATATTAATGTTACAAATGAATAAAGAACATAATAGTACAATACAAATCATTTGGAGATTATAAAACATTAACCTTGAAAATCTCCTTCTAAGGCATAACTCTTAATGCTTGGGATTTTTCATTTCAATACTCATAACTCTTAATGCTTGAGATTTTTTATTTCCCATATATTGAAAGTTATGGGAAATAAAAAATCCCAAGCATTAAGAGTTATGAGTATTCATTGATAAAATCATATAATATTCATAGTGCAAATATATTTTATGAGCAATTTGATAGTCAAAAATTCAAAAATAAAAAATTATAGGCAAAAAGCTTTTCAAAGTATCATATCACATAAATAGCCATCTTTTACCTATGAATGAAATGGTTCAGAATTCATATGAGCCAATAAATAGAACAATGTGTAATTATTAACATTCAGCGATTTCTTATGCTTCGTGGTTACTATTTCTGCAAATGATGCCTACTGCAAGCCTCTTTTAATTAACTTAATCATGATACATAAATACTTGAATCCAAATGAAAAACAATATCAGGTGAATAAATGATATTACAACGAAAATACAATTTTCCCTGTCCTAAACATCTTTCTTTTTCACCAATCTCAGTACTCATAACAAACTAATATCTCCTTTTCCTAACTTGAAAGCTCATTGATCTAATCACATCATCATCAGTTTTTAGTGTGTCCTCAAGAACTTGTATGGACTCTGGCTTGGTGAAGTAGGTAAATAGGAGGTAGATGCCATCCAAGTAAGTGTTGGTTTCTCCGGCCTTATTTTTTTTCTTGATGCTATATGCAAGTGGAATAACTCCCCTGTTGAAAACCTCTACATACATGCCACCTCCAGCAACAAGCAGCTACAAGGAGAATTTACAATACATTTTTCAATCCCATTTCTCTAAATCTATCAACATATAATACAGTTTGAGTCAAGTTTTAACTTATAATCATTATCGTAAAATGTGATCAGACTGCCACCTCTGAAGCCACACCTGAATACTTTAGGCTTACATATCAAGCTTCAACTTCATCAGAGGATGATCAGTTTATTACTTCATTATTCATTAACATTAAAGTACACTGCACAGTATTACCGGAATAAAAGGCCAAGAAATTTCAGAAGATCACAGATAAAAGCAGCTGCACTGAATGAATTAAATGATAATCAGTGGCTAACGGATAGTATAATGGGTCTTAAGATCATATCGCCAGTATTTTGCTACACTGAGAGAAAATTGCGGGTTCCCTTCAAAATTGCGGGTTCCCTTCCTAAGAAAACCAACATTTCACTTGACCATTTAGAATAATGGCTTGAAGGCTCAGTCCTATTCTCATTCACAAGACACACCTCAATTTATGTGAGTGCAGTAAATTCCAAGAGATGCCTAAACATCAGTCCCAAAAGCTGTCTCATGAGAAGAAAAATGAAATTTAGACCAAGACACGGCAAGAATTCAGTATTCATTCTATTTCCCCTCTCTTATGAAATATCAAGTATTCATTATCATCATTTACCTCACGTTATCATTATCTCTAATCCTTCCACATTGCTCAGATAAGAAAATACTTTCAATTAGAATGTCTAGATGTAAAACATGGAGACATATGACATCAAGGAGAAAAATAAAGAGCTAAATGCTCCAGGGGAAGCAAGATACGAGAAAGTTGAACATAATAAGCTTTCATCTATCATCGCCTTAGTTTTTATACAAATGCTTTTGAATTATATCCCTGGTCTTTTATTCTTGTCCAATGCCAGATTAAACACAATATTATCCTCAGGCCTTCGTTTTGTCAGGTGAGGGACATTCCTTCTAGCTACTTCTCTTGCAATACAAAAATGATAATATCTCGATCTATCGAAGGTAAATCAATAAAGGAAAAATATGTAAAGCTGATCATGATCATAACTCCAAAATTTCATTCAGATTGTAAATGCCTATTATAAGGGAAAAAGAAAGTTGGGAGAACGACAAACTCAGGACCTGATTCGAAAATGAATGTCAAATAATGGCTTCTTAATTGGGAAAAGTTGTAAAAATTAGTATGAATTGGAACCTTAAATGGGACAAGGTTCTTGTTTGACATTGATTGTCTAATCAGGTCTTGAATTGTAGTTCTCCCAAGAAAGTTTACCATCTAGTGGCATTCCTCATTTCACATTGGTATCATGCGATTGAAACCCACAAATTATGTCGCCCCTGAACTTTGTGCACTAACCATACTACCACACTGTACGACCATTTTGTTAAACTTCAAACAATTTGAACAAGGGAAGGCAGAGTGAATCTTAAAAATCATTCAATTAAGTGACAGTTAATAGAATGATGGCATGGGGTTATTTTATGGTAATGAAGCCAAACTCAAGAGGGCAGGGTAACAAAGTAGTAAGCTGTACTTCTTTTTCCCATGATAAAATTATAACCTAGTAGGCTATGTTTGAGAGTTTTGAAGAGGGTGGAGTGAAGTAATTATTAGAGTGGAGTAAGATGAAATGGAAAGGGGACGATGAGGTAATTTTAGTCCTCTGCAGTTTCAAAGAAATGAACAATCAAAGACAGAAAGACACAATATTTATGGATCTCAAATTCAAAAATGAAATGAAATCCATTAAACAAGTGTCTTTCTTTATTAGAACTTGGCACAAAGAATTTCTTTAAGAAATACCAAGGACCCAATTCTGAATGAGAAGTGATCTAACCCAAATAAAATTATCATCTTTAGAAAGTTATGCGGTCGTTAAGGTAGAGGGGATGGATCAGTATTACTCATATATTTTATTTTCCCCAACGGCCAGTAAGGATAAAATAATAAGAGTTGAATATTGAACAATTGAATAATTAATTAATAATTGGAAGGCAAACCATTCCAAATCCCCCCAAGTTGGAAATTTTATAAGGGACAAAAAAAAAGACAAAATTGTTCAAATACTTTCTATCAAGTTCTCCAATAGAGGCAAATAAATATTTTGCAACATCAAATTTGCTACTACTTTTTGGAGGAAAATTTATTTGTTGAATTTCACAGCAAACACTCAAAATCCATATTTCAATTTTTTTTTCTTTAAAAAATGCAAACAATCTTAGGTATTTTTTTCACATACTATAAGTTTTTATTTGAAAATCTGAAAACAAAAATTGATATAATACATCCAATGACAATAAGATAGAAAAATTTGAATGAAATGTCTGAAAAATTCAAATTATTCACAAGGCACTCCTTATTTTGGTAGTGATTGGACAAAAGAATCGTCATCTATTTGTTACAACCTAGACTTTTCTGACGTTACAAGTAACTTTTAGAATTATCACCACCAAGTTCTTGGCTTCCCCATTTTGAGGTCGCTTGCATGCACAAGTTGCAATACAACCTAGGCATTTAAAAGTTACAAGAGACTTTTCAGGGTTATTATTACTAAATTTTAGGTTTCTTATCACGTTGCTTTCTAATTTTTATTCATGAGTTCTGGTTTTACCCCCTAAAAATAGGCTGCAAACAAAGCAACCAACACAGCTCAGTCATGATAGCAATGCACACAAGAATCAACCATTGATAGCAGATTGATGCAACATCAATTTGTCATCATTGATGTTTCCAAAAATTACCTTAAGGATTATCATTACCCAATTTTAAATTTGCTATGATATATTTCATCGGAAAGAAAAGTAGTATGAAACATAAAACTTAGCAATGATGACCTTAAAAATCCGTCAAAACTACAATAAGCCTAAGTGATAATTAATGAATCCGAACATTTTCATCCAATCATATATATAATCATATCAATGTGAGTTTCAAAATAATGTATATTTTCATATCCTTCATTGCAATTTCACAAACGGTCTTTTGATCATTTTCTCCCAAAGACACAAGTAGGAAAAATTGTGGGGTGGGATTGGAAAGCGTGATTTGAAATTCCTTCTAATCCGCCCCAAACCATTCCTTCTAACGTAGGCATCTCTAGTTTAGATTTTTCCCCTTTCACATTACTTCATATTTTACCTATTCATTTCATCGAAACAAACAAGAAAGCATTTGAAGTTTGATATTTTACAAAAATTTGGAGAAATATAATACTTTCTAGACACTCTGCACCTCAAGCACCAATAAGAGAAAAGGTAATCAACCGCCTTGGTTGATAGAAATCCACTGATATTCATCTTAAAAGTCACTAAGATGAAGATGAAATTGAAAATTGTTGATGGCATTAAACATGAGAAAATATGGTTAAGAGGGTTGATACCTCCTCGTACTTCTGAGTAAGTGCAAGTCGCTCATCCTCGGACATGTCAGGCCTCAAGACAGCCATTGTCTCGTACTGTCTGAGTCCGGGTGGGCATTGTGGTTCCTCCTTCTCCTCCACAGAAGTGAAACCCCTTCCGGGAGAAGTAGGGTCTTCATCCGAACCGAATCCACCTTCGAAGAAGGAGCCAGAGAAGTCGAGGGTTTGGGCTTGGATGGAAAATCCAGAATTTATTCTCTTTTGGTAAGAGGTTGGTCTTGATCTAGTAAAAAGAGGTATGAGGCAGTGAGAAAAGCTTAAAATTGAAGAAGATAACAAACTTTTGGGGCAATTCGGCACTTTAAGCAGAAACGAAGAAGAGATTGGAGTTGATGCCAGTGAAGATGATGCCATTGATGCACTCTGCTATTCTCTTCGTACATGGATAAGGCAAACCCCACTTTTATATGCGCTCGTCCTCAGACGACGTCGTCTTCTTCCTTGTTTCCGGACCTAGATTTCTCCCTATTCAAAATTAATATTCTATTTTTTTTTAACTACATTTATTCTCTGTACAAACATGAATTTTTTATTGCTCATATATATTTTTCAATTAGAGACAATCTTATATTCTTATTTAAAACACAGTTAGATATTAAATATAAACATATCTTTTAACATGAACTTAAATTTTAACTTGCCATATTATGAAGAATTAACATCTACCATAAGAGCTCACTCCATTGGTAAACTAAGAATTTTTTTTATTAGTATTTGAATAATAAAAATAATAACTTATCTTATTCCATGCATATTAAATATATAATTAAACTAAATATATAAATAACAACTTATTTTTATTTTGGAATAGTTATTATTGCTATAAAAAAGTCTTTTCACATCACTTTTTTAAGATATTTTATGTCTCTATTGTGGGGGACATAAATTTAGGTGACTTAAAAAATTGTCTTATCCATGTTACATGTTTTGGGGATGTAGAAAAGAGTAATGACATTACTTTTTTCAAAATGAGAGCCACGATCGTTGCTCTCTCTCTTAAAAGTAACTTGATTTCTTGAAAAATGAAGTTACTTTTAAGTATAACAGTGACATGATTTACTTGGACTTCATTCCATTTTAAAAAAGTGTCGTTGTATGTTTATTTTTTTAAATGGATATTTTATTTTATTTTTACAGCTAAATTGAACTTGCGAAATTATTACAATAGCAAGAGTCTAACATATATAACCAAAGTATCTAAGATACAACAGCACAAGCATGCCAATGTAACACTAAAACCATTATTACTTATTTAAGTATTTAATATTTACAATAAAAAATCTAACAAACTACTACAATACACTAAGTAGAGTTTATATGCATCTAACTTTCCTATAAATTTAGCTAAAATCCTAACTTTAATTAACAAGGTATAAGCTATATCTAGGACTATCTAAATAAATAGCTCTTGAAAAAATTGACTTGTCAAACTATTTTAAATGTAATATATCTCTTCAATGGTTTAGGAGTACTCATTGTTAAAAAGTGACAAATATTCATAAGTTTTTCATTAGAGCTGTAAAATTTTAAAGCTTCACAAAACTAATATATTATTGAGATTAAATAACTACTTTTGGATCTAAATTTTCATTGGTACTAGATTGAATAATAAAGTATCTTCACTCTTTATTTTCTATCTGTCAATGGCATTGGAAAAATAAAAAATAAATTATAAGCATAAAAAAACATATATGAAATGATTGTGGATGAAAAATATTGAATTCAAATTACTCATATTTAGGAATATCCAAGTCGATGAGTCATTTTTCTTTGGGTTTTTTCTGTGGGTGGCGCTTTAATAATCTATAATGAAATTTAAGTGAAAAAAAATATTAAAACAATTTGAATATATGAAAAAAAACTAATGTTTACAAAATAACATTAACTTATGTGTTAAATTATATTTAATTTCAACAATTAATCGCCTACTCGTAGAACAAAACCAGTATATCCTGTGCAAATATGAGCAAACAACACAAAAGGACCAGTATTAATTACAACATATAAAAATTATAATTATCTTATGAAAATACAAAAAATATTACCAAATTGAATGTAAATATGTGAATATAAACAATTTGCCCTTCAAGTATTGAGCTAGATAACATGGTATTTTTTTTGAAATAATATTGCCCACATATCTCACATTATCATGGACATCATTGTGAGCCGACATCACAGAAGCTAGATATAAAAGTCTAAATTGATCTTCTTTTGGGTCTAGTGCAGAGATGATTGAGAAAACTATTAGCAAAAGGAGATAGAAATTAATGCATATCAATTAAAATAAATGAAAATGAGTCAAAATATAAATAATAAACTTACCAAGATTGATAACATGGCCTAGGATATGTCTAGCTCCCTCATCAATAGGAATTCCAAGATGTCTTTCTTATCAAGTGCAAAGGATATGACTTATCTACACTCATAATTCCTTTAAGCATTGCCAACTCAATTGGCTTTGTCAAAAATTAATATAAATGTGGTAGATAAGAGTAGTCCTTAACATCTTCAAGATCTTAATGACACATCAAATAATACAAGTTATATAAATTGAAACAAATAATCAAAGAATAATGGGGTGTTTTTTTACCATAGAAACTATCATGTCCATGACAATAAGTCTTTTAGGCCATAGAATGAAACAGCTTTATACTTGGCTTAATTTTACAATCTCATCAATAGGGAATGCCATTATCACGTTCAGCTCAAGAACAACCTCAATCGTCACCTTGACTTGCTCATTCGGAATCTTTATATGATGGATTATTTCTCTAAGCATGTATACCCAAGTAGTAGCGACAACCCAATTCCTGGGTTTATCCAAATAAAGAAAAAAAGGAGTTTCATCATCTATTGAGGGATTAGAGGCATAGACTGCTATGTCTGATGGATTATGGTTATCTTTTGTGCTTTAAAGCAAGGGGGAAGTTTGGAGAAACAAATGAAAGAAGTTAAATATAATAAAGAAAAAAATAGATAAAATTGAATATTTAACTAAATAAAAATATTGAAAACTTGGGGTCCCCGCTACCCAATTCCCTGCTCAATTCCCATATTGGAGACTAAGGATATAAACTCTTCAAGAAGTTGCTCTGGAATGACAAATGATCCTACTCGTACTTTTAAGCAACTTCATCCCTAACCTTTGCCAGAAATTCATCAAGCTTGGCTCTAAATACAACTCTTGAGCTTTATGGTGTTGGTCTAAAGTACTACTTGAGACTGACTTTTTTTCCTACCCCTCTAATATGACCAAGATAATATGGCTTTCCAATTGCTATTACTAAGATCCATTCTTCTAGTAAATTGAAATGAACCTTGAGAAGCTTATTCCTTAAGTGAATCTTGCAATATATAATTAATGAATTTATCTCAAAAAACATGTAATCTAAAATTTGATTTAACTCATTTGATAAAATAACTTACAATCCTTATAGCAACTGCAATAGTGTAACATTCGCCTTGATATTACTATAAAGCACCCCACTTAGCATACAAATGACTAGGAGTCCTTAAACTCCTAAATTACCATAATTCACAAAAAAAACTAGAGATAAATCTTTAAAACTAGTTGAGATCCCAAAAACCATAGAAAATATATATAAACTCAAAACAATAGGTATTCATGCACAGCAAAAACAAATAGGATGCAAAATCACTTCATATTAGAAAAAATGGCAAAATTGTCACCTAAAAGGACACATATGCCTCGGCATGTGACACATGTGACGTGGCATGTTGAACAGAGAGGGCAATTTCATATCTTTGTATCATGTGCTGTTGCATTTATGACAGCAAAAAGCTAACATAATAGCTTTTCTAGTCCAACTTCAGATGTGTGTCATTTTTACATACTATGTCTAATTGGAGTGATTCAAATGCCTACATATAACTTATTTCACAATCTAACTAATAATACAAGTTTTACTTCAATTCGATATTTCGTTTTAAAATTGGACACCCAGATGCAAATTGACCATTTTATATCATTTCACCACATCTAAGTATCCCAAACCATAAAGTAATGTCATTAGCCTCACAATGGGCCTCAATCACATCTAATAGGACAATGTCTACCTGATTAAGCAATTATAATACCAATCATACATTCACACATAAATTTAGGCACCCTTATACCTTAATTCACATCAAAATAGGACTATTTTGCATATTTGCACATAATCATCTATCTTGGCTAAATTCGCACATCATATCAATTCAACACATATAAACATGTACTAGTACTAGTATCTCAGGCCTCTTGTCACAATTTCCTAAATTTACATATCTTATGGCTAAGATACATACACACATGGTCATATAAGTGCAACAAAAAATATGTATGCATTCCTATGGAAACTTTTAAATATATACATACAAATACACAAATTAATTGCTCAATTCAACAATAGGGAGATATAGTAAACCTGCTACTCCTAGACCATGTCTTTCCTTCTACCCCTATCAGTATTTAAACTTGTAAAATAGTAACTATGGGGTGAGACAGAGTCCCAATAACCAAAATAATCCAAAACTATCTATTAACAAGTAAAACCATAAACTAATAAATTAAACATTATTAATTGCATGCTAGTACATGTACACATATTTATACAATTGACATCACATGCATGATCAAACTATCTAATTGAACTTCTTCATCTACCTCCGACTGAATCCGTAGGCTACACATTGTACTAATTCTATATAAATTGATCTAAGCTCACCTTCCATGGGAGAACCACCTAGCCAAAGGTGTTCAATCCCATCTTTAGACTATGAATTCCCCTATCACATATGTAATCAGGGTGTTGTATACTCCAATGTTGCATATACTCAAGTGCTAAGGAGCTCAAATCATGTAATGATTGCCTGAATATCCCATGATAATAATCCCTTACAAGTTGCTGCACTAGACATCCTATGGTGTCAATCAGACCATAAGGATTTTCATCCCACCGGGGGTCTTTTGGATTGGGCTCCAACACTCCTCACGGAGCCCAAGCCAGCTTTCCCCAAGGTGGTACTTGGGTTATTTCTTACCCCACCAAAGAGGTCTTTTGAAGCCTTTCCAGACTCGACCTTCCAACTTCTACCACCTTAAGGAAGGTGAGGCTAAGTCTAATACCATTGAGACAAGTGACTTAAAAATATATAACTTTAGTTACATATATACTTAAAAATGTGTGTGTATGTGTGTACTATTTTCTTAAAACTTTTCCTTTATTTCATTTACAAATTATACATCGTGAAAAGCATATATTATTATATCCATCATTACACATACTCGTAAACAGTTAAACAAGCTAATAAATATGATAAATTATTTAATTACCTCAATCGTTCTGTTACAAAAAAAAGTTAC